ATGTAACGCGACAAACATGCAATATCAGGGCCACGCCACATTCAAGTATCGAAGCGCTGTTCCCCGAACGGCCCTAAGTACGTTACTCCGAACCTAGTAGGTCGAGTTGAATGGATGCTGCGGTGTCGGTCCTCCTGCATGCATGTCGACGATGCGTTCGCACGATGGAGGGTTCCTCCGTAGCCTCCTCCACCTCCTCCTTCACATCCTCTGCCTTGCTCCCACTTATCCATAACCGCTCCGTAATTTAGCCTCCGCCCTCGACGCTCAATATCCTCCATCCTCCTCTCCCATCCACTCATATCCAGCCTTGCTCTCCTCCTCAATGACGATCCTCATTCCTCCATTCCTCACTCCTCCGTCTCCCCCTTCCATCTTTCACCTCGTCATCCTTGATTCCTCGTCCCTGCTCCTCCTCCTCCTCCTCCTGTTCCTCCTCCTTTTTCTCCTTGTCTCCTTGTCTCCTCCCTCCTCCTCATTCAATATACCCATCGGTCGGAGGAGTGGTGTGTAAACATCAAATAGGAAAGCGTTGAAAGTAGATTGGGTGTCCGCCCGCCCCCTAACGAGGACGGAAAAGGTGAAGCCACTGGATCATTGAAGTAGGAGGGCGCTTAAAGTAGATTGGAATCTGGGACTCCAAAAAAAACCTACTCTCAACGACCGATGGGCACCATACTACTCCATTCGCCTCATCCTCCCTCCCGATCCTGCTCATCGTCTCGTTTCTCGTGATCGGTCGCCTTCCTCGGCGGCGACGATAGGGGCGAATAGCCTTTTTTAGAAGACATGGATCATCGGCGCACCTGAATACACGTATTGCTCTCCCCTGACCTATTCGCCCCTATCGTCGCCTCTGACTTCCCCTCTCCCTGCCCCTCCAAGAAGACCGACGCCAGCGCGGCCTGTCTCGTCTTCTGGGGCGGAATTTCGCGTCTCTCGGGGACGGGCTGACCCCGGCCGGCGCCAACCCGCCGGAGTGCCACGTCGTGCAACCCTGGCCGGCCACAAAGCAGCACAGCCCTGGTGAGAGGGCGGGGGGGTCGGCTCCAGACTGCTCCCACGCCCAAGTCAGCCAGAGTAGATCGGGGGGGCCCTTCACTGGAATGCCAGAACAAAAACACAGAAACAACGCAGGGCGATGCCCAAATGAAAAGGCTGTCCAGAAGCGCCAGCGGTCGCCGATGGTCAGGTGACATTCGTCCCAGAATTGACGAACTCCGCGGCAGCACCGACAACGGATCGCGTCCAAAATGGGCAGGGACTGCTGCCGGACTGAGTCCACAATCTTGCCATGAAGGACAAAAATGTGTTGAGGGTGGCGGGTCCTGGACACTGGAGCTCTCCCTGGGGTAGGCCTCTCATCCCGTGACGTCTCTGACAGCCCTGCAGACACCCCAGGAGAACACGATGAGAAACCTAGCGTTGGGTCGGACCTGTCCCCCTACGGGGGGATTTTGGACGACAGATTCAAAATACACCAAACATACTCCAAAAATGCTCCCAACAAAATCAAAGCATCTATTATGTTTGACTATATTTGAATACTCCTCTTGTAGAGGGACAGGCCCGACTTAATCATAGCGGCAGTCTTCTCTCCATCCCCATCTGGAAGCATCCTGGGATGGGGCGAGAGCAGGTGGGGTCGGAGGACCGCGCCGCCTGGCTTTTCATCGCCGATGCATCAGCGACGTCGGGACGGAGTCAAAATGAACTCCGCATCGCGCCGCATCGCCGATGTGGCGCGATCCTCCGACACCCTCTATTGTGGCCCCATTTCGTGAAGACTTCCTACCGGAGTTTGGGGACTCGAGTTGGCCTGACGCGAGCTCCCACCGCATACATCCCACGAACTGAAACCTGCACCGTCAGAACACGCGCCGGGGACGTCAGAGAGAGCGGTGGTCAGCCAGAGCTCCAGCGAACACGAGACTTACACGTCTCCCCGACATCTAGGAGGCGAACCCTGAACCTTCGGCCCTCCCGGTCTAGCGCTCCGACTTTCCTGGAGAGAGACGGCGGCATAAACATACACGTTCGAAACTCTGCCCAGATTTCTTGGACCTGCGCTGGCAAGCCCACTTCTGGGCGAGCTGAATGCGTCAGGAACGGCGCAGCAGTCTCCGCCAGCGGGGCTCAGCGCTGATCCAATGACCCCGCGCGGAGCTCCGAAAGCTACGCGTCTGCAAAGTAGGAAGAGATCGTAATCCCGAGTCGCCGGCCTGACACACTGATATGGAGCGGGATCCGAGAGCGGGGTCTGGACCCGCCCCCCCCCCCAGAAAAATGATCTCCCCCTCCCCTCTCCGGGAAAATGCTTCGGGGGGTCCAGAAACCGACGACGACGACGCCGACGACGCCGACGACGCCGACGACGGCGACAACGTCAGCGGCGGCGGCGGCGCACTTGCGGCCAGCGGCCACGCCAGGCGCTGGTTCTGATAAAATGCTACCAGGTATCGGTCCAGCTCCCTCAGAATCCTACAAGGGCCTCACTGTACTCTACCATACCTACCCTATTCTACTCTAATCTACCCTCCTCTCCTCTCCTCTCCTCTCTACCTTACCATACTCGACTCTATTCAACTCGAATTTGATATACTGTATGAACTCGATGTCCGCTCTACTCTACTCATCTAGACTTCTCCACTCGATTCTAGACTACTCTAGTCGGACCTACATTACATTCCTCTACTATAATCTGCCCTATTCCACTACAATGAGAGTAAACGATGAAAACGCAATTATGAGGCGAGCCAGTTCTTCAGCGGTTGCCCCCACAATCAGGGAGGGGGGGGAGCAGGCCGACGGAGGGTGGACACTCCCAGGCTGTCTGGGGGTCGGGCGGGGGCCCACGAGGCCGCAAAAAGTTTGTGGACCATGTCCTGGAAAGATTAAGAGGTTTCGACCTCCTCCTCCTCCTCCTCCTCCTCCTCCTCCCCCTCCTCCTCCTCCTCCCCGTCCTCCCCCTCACCCTCCTCCTCCTCCTCCTCCTGGTCCTCCGCTTCCTCCTCCTCCTTCTCTTTTTTCCTCGACATTCCCCTCCTCCTCCTCCTCCTCTTCTTCTTATGACTGTGATTATTCCGTTTCTTCTTCTTCTTCTCCGTCCTCCTCGTCCTTCGCTTCCTCCTTTTCCTCCTCTTCCTCCTCCTCCTCCTCCTCCTCTTCGCTCCCAGTCGCCGCGGTCGCCCGCGAGGGCGACTGCGCCGACCAGAAGGACGACGACGAAGGCAACGACAATAACAACGAGGACGATGACGACGGACGGAGACGACGACGACGCAACACAGCGGATACCCTATAGGGAGGGGGCGCGCAAGCCTGCTGTAGTCGACGACGGCGACAACGACGATGACGACGTCGGCGACGGCGACGACGACGGACAACGACGGCGACGACGACGACGACGAAGGCGCATTGCGGACGCCTTTGGGGGGGGGGCTGCGCTTTCCCGCTGTAGTCGAAGACGACAGCGACGACGACGACGACGTGGACGGAGACGGACGACGACGGCGACGACGACGACGCACCACTTTGGATACCATGTGGGGGGGGGGGCGTGTCGGCCCGCTGTAGTCGACGACGACGACAACGACGACGGGGATGAGGACGAGGACGAGGACGAGGACGACGACGGACAACGACGACGAAGACGACGACGACAACGAAGGCGCACTGCGGATGCCTTTTGGGGGAGTGGCTGCGCAGGCCCGCTGTAGCCGACGACGACAACGACGACGACGAAGACGCGGACGAGGGCGAGGACGACGGACGACGACGGCAACGTCGACGACGACGACGACGACGGCGCACTGCGGAAGCCCGATGCCCCACGAGAGGGGTGGTGCGTAGGCCCGCTGTAGTCGACGACGACGACGGACAACGACGGCGACGACGACGACGGCGCTCTGCGGATGCCTTTTTGGGGGGGTCTGCACAGGCCCGCTGTAGTCTGTAGTCGACGACGATTTCGACGACGACTACGTTAACGACTACGACGAGGCGAGGACGAGGACGAGGATGACGGACGACAACGAACCACTGCGATGCCCTATGGTGGGGGGCTGTGTAGGCCCGCCGTAGTCGACGACGACGACGACGGACGACGGCGACGCCGACGACGAAGATGACGACGACGACGACGACGACGACGGAGACGAGGATGCATGCGAGGACAAGCACGAGGACGAGGACGGGAACGACGAACGACGACGGCGACGATGACGACGATGCACTGCGGATGCCCGATGCCATATGGGGTGTGGGTGGGTGCGCAAGCCCGCATTCGTCGACGACAACGACGAAGACTACGTCGGACGACGACGACGACGACGACGACGATAATGATGACGAAAACGGCGACGGCAGAACAATCTCGGGGGGGGAGGGCTGACGATAAAACAATCGCTTCTGACGGCTGATTTATTTATGCTGCCCAACTCAAACAAGTAAAAGGCCTCAGGGGGGAGGGGGGGGAACGGGAAATTGTTTTGATCGCTTGCTCCCATTACCCTACAATATCCCACCCTACTCTACTCGACACTACTCTACCCTACGTTACTCCACACTACTATACATGATTGTACTCCCAAAATACTACACTTTATACTTGCTCCATTCTGCTTGTCGCCGTCGTCGTCGCCGCCGCAGCCGTCGTCGTCGGTGCTGGCGCGGGGGTTGGAGCCGCGAGGGTGTCTCGACCCCGCGGATTATTTTCACAGGGGGGGGGGACTTTGGACCCACCCGAACCATTTCCCAGGGTGGGTTCTGTACATTCCCCCGTTCCCTCTGCCAGCAGCGGTAGAATAACAAACATTCAGTTTTGCTGTTTTTCAACCTCGCACAGGGCGCATTCAGATCCAAATTGATAGGATCATCCAACCGTGGCGACGGCCCAAAAAGGCAAACACAAAACACGGGTAGCGGCGCTAACGGTAGTTATCGGTGCATTCTTATCCTCTGAACTTCAGCCCTCCTTCCCGCGATTCCGACCCTCCGACCCCGCCGCAGGGTCCTCGGCGGCCGCGGCGGCGGCCCCGCCGGAGGATGGCGCCGAGCCGCCAGCGCCTGGGGGCGCGGGGGCGCCGCAGGGTCGGACAGACCTCTTCCGCTCGGAGCGCCGACGGGCCCGACGCCCTCGCGACGTGGTCACGGCGGGAGATTTTTGGACGCATTCGGCCTACGGGGGCCCTTGGAATCACGGGGACCGTCAAAACCGATCCGGGGTGGAAAACCAGTCCCAGGGCATGGGTCGAGACCACTGGGGGTCGACGTTTCGAAACAGTGAATGCCGAGCCAAGCTGAATCGAATCGCGAAGTCGGGTCGGATCGAAAACGGATTTGATCGCAAACGAATCGCCCCGAGCCGAACTGAAGTGCATGTATGAGGGCCTCTGGGCCCGAAAAAGAAGCCTGGAGGCCGGAGTCGATGAAAAACATCCCGGCTGAAATAAACACGTCTTCGGAAATGTGTCTGGGGGGGCGCCCTGGGCGGAAGACTCGCCGGTCCCGAAGAGAGAGGAGGACTGGGCCCCCAGTCGGGGCCCACACAGGAGCGCAGGGCCGCGCCCTCCGAGGCGAGCGAGATCGCGACAACGAATTTGCACCAGGGGGAAGACAGGGCAGGAGGGGAGGGGGGCTGTAGGACGGGGACGGAAAGGGGGGGCGAGGACTCGACGAGCCTTGATATCCAAGCGTCGCAAGCGTTGCGCACCCGGTGTTTTCGGCCTGGGGATCATCGCAGCTCGATCCAAAACGGAAAATACAACAGAAAGATTGGCTCCAAGGCTCTGGCCGTGCTTTTTCTTGGCGTTGCAATTATTCTGGAACGCCGGACTTGAGGGAGGGGGAGGAGGGAGGGAGAACGAGGAGTAGACGAAGGGAAAAGGGGGGCGGGAAGAGGGGGGGCGAGGAGTAGACGAGGGGGGAAGTGAAGGGGGGAGGGGGGACGAGGAGTAGATTATCATATCAAACAAGAAAGGGCGAGGCCTAGAGGACGACAAGCCACTTGACCCCACTAGAAAACACACGGGGAATACAAAATTAACAAGCCAAGCACGAACGCACTTCTGAAGGTCTGCGCGCATTTCCTGGATCTGCGCCGGACCCCCCTTCCCCACGCGCAATTGCACCGCCGGGGGTGTCCAACGTAAATCCGGAGAATCCGCGGCGGCATCCAGAAGCTCACTGTTTATACAACATGTATTCGGCAGATCCACGGCGCCACCACCGTGCCGCGCGCATGTACAGACATGGCAAAGTCCAATGGTCGGTTCGGTCGGGCTCCTGCGATTTCCTACTGACGTGACTCCCCTCTCCTGGCAGCATCTCGTCGCGCGCGCCGCCCCCTTATTCCCGTGGCCACATCCCCTCGCAAGATGCGACAGACTCGCGCCCCCGAGGCCCAGGCGCCTCCAATACAGCCTCGTACCGCTTTCCAAGACGGACCACATCTCCCCGAAGGGCCAGCGCGCCCTTGCCGCTGAGGTCGTGGACAAGCGCGCTCGCGCGTGATCCGCGCCCATCTTCCTGGTGCGTCTTCGATTGGCTCGAAGCCGAAGACCCCGCTGGGGCCCCCTTGCCGCTCCGCCGCCGGCAACTCGGGCGCCCGCGGGGCGCAGCGCGACGCGGGGCCACGCTGACCGGGCGGGAGCGCGGGTGCCCCGCGCGCGAGCGCCTGCGAGGCCCGCCGCGAAGCGCGCGTGCCCCTAGCGGGGGCAGCCCGCGACGCGAGCCCAGATGCCCCCCCACGAGGAAAGCGCGGCCTCGGCCCCAAAGAAGCAAGCGGCTGCCCGCGCGCAACGAACCCGCCGTCGCGATCGCGATGTTGCTTGATGTGACGGCACTGAATTCGCGGAGCCCCGAAGCCTCGCCCGCCCTCCCATAGGGCCCAAACCCCCGCGAGGGCGCGAACCCCGCCGGCGGTCTCCCGCCCCCATCCGCGGCGGAAAGGGGGGGCGCGCGGGCGGGCGGGGCCCCTCGCTGCGGGCGCGCGCCCGCAGGGCTGGAAAAGCAGCGGGCGGCTGCGAGGCCAGCGGCCTCGACCGCGCTCTGCCGAACAACGGGGCGAGGCGCCGCCCCAAAGTCCTGCCAGGCCCCCGTCAATCCCCCCCCCGCCCTGCCAGGCCAGGGCGCGCCCCCCCGCCGAGCGCCCCCCCTCGCCCCGCGGACGCGCGGGCGCCTTCGCGCCAGGGGGGGCGCCCGCCGGTCGCAGCCCGCGCAACGAGCGGGCGCAAGCGCGCAGCGACCCGGACACCCCGACTGCGCTCTCTCGGACACCTGGGCAGGGGGCGCGACCCCGACGCCCTGCCCGGCCCGCGGAAGACCCTCCCCCGCCCATAGCGCAGCCCTCCATCGAGCGCCCCCCTCCGCCCTCGGCGCGGGCGCGGGCGCCTTCGCCCCCGGGGGCGCGGCCGCCCGTCGAGGCAAGTTCGGGGCCGTTCAGGAGGCGCGCGGGCAGCAAGCGCGGCGGGGGCCCGACCTGGGGTCGCGCGACGATCCGTCGCCGCGCCTGCGCAAGCCCAGAAACCTCTCTGGCCGATGAGACCCTTCCCTTCCGCAGGGCGCGCCGCCCCGTCGAAGGCCGACCCCTCGCCCGCGACGGGAAGGGGGGGGCGCGCGAAGGGGTGGTATTGTCGAAGCGGGACAGGGCCCGCCAGTCGGCGGCGGTTCGGGGCCACCAGGCGGGCGCGCCCCCTACTGCGCATCCGCAAGGCGCGGGGTTTGTCCCATCGGTCGCGCGCGGTTCGCCTGCGCTCGAGCGCGGGGCGGCCGCCGCTCCGACGCGCTCTGGGCCCCGCGGCGACCGCCCCGCGCGCTGCCCCGCTGGCGAGGCCCCCGAGCCTTTGGCTCGCGCGCCCACGCTGCGGATGACAGCGCTCGCTGAACGCCGCCCGGCGCCCGCGGCCAAAGGGCAGCGCGGCGAGCCTTGCAACCCTGCAGCCCGCTGCCCCCAATCGGCCGGCGGCCGTTCTCATTGTTCGACGGCGGCGCCCCGCCCTAGACCGCCACGCAGACTGCCGCGACGAACTTATGCGGCCCTCTGCGGCCACCTCCTGGCGGGCGCGGGCGCGCCCCCGCAGCGTCGCGAGCTGCCCCGCCCGGGGTGCCATCGGATTGCCCGCGGAGCTCGAGGCGTCGAACGACGGGGGGAGGCGGTCGATCGCCCAGTCGCGGACTGCCTCGGTCAGCGTAGGGCAGATCTCGGGCGGGCGGAAGGCGCGGTAGTTGCCCGTGAACGCGTCTTGGAGTAAGAGCGAACTCGCATATCGGAGCAGGTCCTCCGTCATCCTCGCCTCAGACTCGATGGGCACGCGTTTGATGGGCGTATTGCGCCCTCGTTGCACGACTACGCCGAGCTCCCTCCAACAACCCGTCCAGCGTGATCCCATGACAGATGCCATGTCGGCCATCTTCAGGACCGCCAACGTGCCCTCTTGCTCCGGGGCCCCATGGCCAATGGCCAAAGTAAATCAGATCCACCTGGTCCTCGGGGATGTGTTCCTGAAGTTGCTCAATCTTGCTCAGTTCCTTCGCGATGCCCTTCGTGATGATGGGCTGCAACGGGAAGATGATGGCGCGGTGCCCCCATGCGTCGGTGCCCTTCTCTGAGCACCTTCGGCCGCACTTCTTGCTCGCCCACCTGCAGGGCCCCGTGGTGGTGGTGACCCCCTGGCTCGCGCACTTCCGTCGTCGTAGCACACGTCGCCAACTCCATCGGATCGATGGGCCCTCTTGCAGTGCGGGCGCACGTACATGATGTAGTTATCCCCCCCGAAGGCGATAGTGAAGCCCGCCGCCGTTCCCAAACGCTCGTTCTTTAGGGTCGCCTCGTCAACATGTATCAACCGCGCGTTCGGCACCGTTGGACCGTTCTTGTCCTTCGCGAGCTCTTCCTCCATGGCGAAATAGATGGGTTCGGTGTGGTGAAATTGTTGTTTTCCCTCCCGGGCAACGGTCGCTAGCCGGGATGGGTCAGGCGGGAGGGTCACGGCAACGGCGGCCGCAGCGTGCACCCGCCGAGGTGCGCCCGCGCCAATGGCGCAGTAACCGCCGGTGTACACGACAGAAATGCCCGCGTGCAACACCGCACCGCCTGTGGACGCCACAGTGCCCCCGCACACCACAACAGCCGCGTACACCGCAACACCAAGTCGCACATGTACACCGCAGTGCCCGTGTAAACTGCAGCACCCGTGTGCGCAACAGCGCCTGAGTACAACACATTGCCTGCGTACGCCAGGGGGCTGTTGTACACCACATGCACCTGTGTACACCACAACAGCCATGCGTACCGCAACGACTGTGCACGCCACAATGCCTCCGTGCACCACAACGCAAGTGTACACCAGAACGTGCAACCGAGTACATTAGTAGCTTGCGAGGCCTCTTTGCGGGGTTCGCTACAGGAGGCCTTCAGGATTCGGCATTCATCTCCTTCTCCTCCTCCTCCTCCACCTCCTCCTCCTCCTCTTGCACCTCCTGCTCCTCTTCCACCTCATCCTCCATCCACCTCTCTCTCCTTCTCCTCCTCTTTTTCCTGCTCCTCCTCATCCTGCAACCGGCGGTTCCTCCTTCTGCTCCTCCTTTTCTTGCTCCTGGTCCTCCTCCTCCTCCTGCTCGCCTGTTTGCCGGGCTCGCCGAAGCAGTGAGCCCGTCTGATCTACGCGCACACAAATAGCCTACAAACGACACAAAACGCATGTGAACTCGGCGCCGCAACAGGTGGGGAGCCTGCGAGCACCACAACACGTTTGTGAGCAACCAAAGCATGCCTTCCAGCACCGCGGCATGTCTGTAAACACAGCGCCATACCCGCGGGAGGTCCCGCCCCCTAGCATACAGGGAGGGTCAAGGCCATCCCGCCCAATACGATCCTTAGAGTTACCCGAGGGAGATCGAGCTTACTCACGTTAACAACGTCTCGGCTTTCTACGGAAATGGGGGCAGGAAGGTGCTGGTACTGCTACTCCTCGGGCTCTCCTCCAGGGTGCGTTCTGACCAGGATTACAAGGAAGATCAAGCCGTGGCGACGAGGACTTCGAGGGCAAGCAGGAATACCAATCGGTACCTTCGCCTTCCCCCCTAACGAAGGGAACCCAAGAATCTGGGCCGAAATTGTATAGATGCCAATATTCCCTGAAAAGACGGGTTGCAAGCCACACGGCAGGGCCCGAGCTAATATTTCCGTGTTCCCTCGTTGTGTTCGTTCCGCCTGTGCTGCAAAACGAAATCAAAACCACAACGGCCCACGAAATCGCCAGAACACAGCTTATCGCCAAGACGAGGCCAAAAACGTCCGAAATCGTGTCACGAGTTTTTTGTTTCTCAGCGGCGAGCCGGGGGGGGGGGAAAAGAGAAAGGGCGGGCCTTCCCAGAAGACTCGGAAACCCTCCGGCCGTCTGAGCCGTCAAAGTTTTCTAAGCCTTCCCCGAAGACATAGAAAACTTCTCAGAAAACTGGAGGCCTTCTGAGAAGCCCCGCCGCCTTCTGAGAAGGCCTCCTCCTCCTTCCTTACCCCCCCTCGCTCGCCGACGACTGTCGTTCCCCGTCAGTTGGGCGTCTGGCGAAACACTCCCCTCACGGGCCCACGGGGGGACGCGCTGCCACGCCCGAGGCAGAGGCGGCGGCAGCACGGCCGCGCGGCCTGGGGCAGTCCTGAACTGCACCCTGTGACAGGGCGCGAGCTGAACTCGGCGGCAAGCGAGGGGGGGAAGTGAGAAGACGGAGGCCTGCTCAGAAGGCGGCGGGGCTTCTCATAAGCTCCCCGGCCTTCTTATGCATGTTCGGTGTCTTCGGGGAATGCTTAGAGCACTTCTCAGAAGGCCGAGGGAGTCCCGAACCGTCTGAGAAGGCCAGCCCCTTCTCACTTCCCCCCGGGGCATGGACCCGCTCAAGGGGGGCATCGAATTGGAATCGGCGATACGTCGCCGATAAAGCGGCGATAGGTTCCAAATTACCGCATGTCCCTGGGCAAGGTGGTCCGTCGGACCCATATCCGCGATGAATGTGCTATAGGCTATTGGCATCCCCCTTGAGCCAACTTCTCCCTAACGTTGTCTCTGATCAACTCACAGCGAACGAACGAGCAGCCTGGTTTCCATAGTACGGGCGGAAACGCAGGGATGGGGAGAGGACAGGCTGGAGACTTTGGCAGCGAATATCAGAAGGGGGTGGCGCGAGGGGGGGAGGGTGCGTTCCACAACTTGCAAAGTAAATACTCGCAAATGGCCTGGCTCCGCCGCGGGGACCTTACGATCCAATGCACCGAAGCAGGCATGTGTTTTCCAGGCGTTTACGAGCAGACACTTTGCGAGTAGTGGAACGCGCTCAGAGACCCACCTTCTGAGAAGCCCACGGGAGCCACAAAAGGGAGGAAAACCCCACAAAAGACCCTGCAACCGCCCAGAAACACCAACGCCACGGAACCATCTCCCCCTCCAGCATACTCCCTCACTTGGCGGGTTCCAGAAACCCTGAATCCAGAAGAGAGGGCACCTCTCTCGCTTCCTTTGGCTTCCACCGGCCTTCCGACGGGGGAGCCGCCCCTGACTTGCCCCCGCCGCCCTCCGCCGAGGAAGAGCTGCCCCAACGCCTTCGATCCTCGAAGGCGAGGCCCTTTCTGGAACGCCTAACTTGACCGCCTCCTTGTGTTATGTTGCTTCCATCGTACTGAAAAACAAGATCCCAGAAATAATTTCGGTCACCCGGGAAAACATCGAAACAATGTCGAATGAGTATCGCCTCCCAGAGCCCGAAACGTGAAAGCCCTCCAATTTCAGTGGTTCCTGGTGCTCGAAATTCTTTCTGGTGATCAAGGCTACTGTAGGTTGGAACATCATAACCCTTGTGGGGCCCCGCTCCTCGAGGCTCAGAATTTTGGCCGACGCGGCGCGAGCCAAGGCAACCGTTCGCGCGACGGCGGCCACGGTGCGCGACCTCGGCGCGGGCCAGTGGACCCGCTCCCGCGAGCCGACGCGGCGCTGGAAGGTGGGCCTAGGACTGCATCCACCGAAGAGCGATCATTCAAACTGGCAGTATGATTACACAAACTGGCAGTGACGATATGTATGACAATGTGGCATTGCTTAGGTCGAATACCAGAGGTTTTGAACGCTGTCTGCTCCTGGAGACTCGGCCGGTTGCGCGCGGGGCACACCTTGAGCCAATCGGGGGGACCCACCTCTTTCCAGCATCATCCAGCGATCGGACCCACCCCGTGCTTCACGGGTCAGCAAGAGGAGGGGGGATTACAGAAGAAGAGGTTGGCCAATCAGATCCGCGCACCCGACTTTCCCGGCGCCTCCCAGCACTGCAGGCGCCATCGAGGAAAACGCCCCGGGGGCGGGCCCGAAACCCGCTGCATGCAACACATGTCGCAACCCACCTTTCCCAATCCCCCGCTTCGTCCGGCTGGATCCGTGAAGCCCGCTGCGGGAGCAAGGGGCAGCGATTGGGGAAGACCCGCTCATGGGGGGAAGCATCGAGCTGGAAACGGCGATACGTCGCATGCAGATCGGCGATGGGCCCCCGATGGCCAATCCGCAAGCTCCTGGGCGGGGCGAGCCATCGGGCCACTACAGGCGATCAAGAAGCCGCCCGGGGGGGGGAAATGAGACGGGGCGGGCCTTCGCCTGGAGGGCATCTGGGTTTCTAAGAAGCTTCCTCTAAACCGTCTCCGAAGACAGGGAGTCGGCTGCCCAACCCAGTGGCCCCAGCCCTCCCCCGTCGTCCACTCCGATGCCAGCCTCTACAACGACAACCAGCAAAAGCAACGCAGGACAAACAAGTCAGATCATCCTCCCGCTCTCGCGCCGCCCCGACCCGCCGCCCCCCCCCCCCCCCGAAAAAAAGACTCTCCGGCCCCCATCGCGAACTGGTCAGAGTTGGAGATGGGTAGAGATAGCTGGACAGATGAGCGAGCGACTGCACTTTGCGTAAGGGATGCGCGATGCACGGTCGTTCGCGGAGCGAACCGTCGAACCACGGGCACGGCTACGCGGTCGCATTGGCACGTTCCGCGCGCGGCATCCGAGACAAAACGCCCCGTAAGAATGGGGTAACGGACCAGAGGTCCAGCCAACGAGGCGATAAGACTGGGTATATGTACTCCGCCCACTCTGCGCAACACACGAACTCTGGGAAATCCAAGCGGATCTCTTGTGTCGGCGCTGGATGCAACGGCGGAGATCCCGCGCCGACCCCCAAATCTTGGGCAAATGTTTTCTGAGAAGTGGGTAATCTGGTGGATCGCTGGATCCAAAATCGGGCGGGCGACGCCTTCTCCCGTGATCTCCCGCTTCCATCCGCTGCGTCGTACTAGAATACATGTGCCAAGGTCCACTATGTTGTTTAACATAAGACGTCGCATTTGTTCGAACTTCGTACTTGTTCTATCCCGTGGTGGCATCGTGGATGCACTCCCACGCCCCAGAAGTACTCGATCCGCAGGGGGTCGCGGAGCATGGCGTTGACGACCTCGGTGTCCGTCTCCCGTCCCTGGCTGGTGACTCCGAAGGGTGAAGTTTGCTAAGGGTGCGGCTTGCAACCCGCTCCCATGGGGGGCGGGCGAAGACCTCGACGGAGCTTTCCAGCGCGTCCCGACGAGGCCCGACGAGGGCAACGTGGCGCCGCCCAGCCCCAACGACGCAGATCGCAAACCACACCCCAGCGTAACCATACCCCTTGTAGTCGCCGACCTGGTCGTCCAGCGAGACGAATCGTATCTCCCCGGCGGGCTCCTCCGCGTATATATGCTGGCTGGGAGCCCCGCGGCCGTGCCCATCACCCTGGCCGCCCCCCACGAGGGACAACGGTAGGCTCGGGGTGTTTTGATCTTGTTCTTACGCTGTCGTCGGTTCCCGGCGGCTTTCTAGCCTCGGGGTGCCTTCAAGCGGCTGCGCCTCGCAGAAGGCGCTCTGGGGGCGCCCGGATCGCCCCGGCCGGCCGGCCGCTGGGGGCTTGAGTTATGACCGAAACACCACCAAAGGACCAACTCAGGGGACACGCGGCGGGACCCGATCATTGAAGATTCGCTTTTCGGCATACGAAACCGACAGCGGCCAAAAAACTTCTGCTGCTTGGGAGCGGCATCGTGGGCTCAGCGCGGGCCTCCGCGCTGGCGTAGCAGCTGTCCGGCCAGTGGCCCGGCGCCCACGAACCGCATGGAGCGCCGGGTGCAGCGCCCGAGCTCCTCTGCTGGGGCAACAACCCTGGGATTTCAGCATATGCGTTTCCATGGGTTTGCATATGCAAACGCAGAAAGTGTATTCACGTCTTGACGCAAGAGCATCTTGTGCTTTTACGTCAAGACGGGAACGCATCTTCTGCGCTCACACCTGCAGGATCATTAACATGCATCTGCTGCACCCCAGGGATGCGACAACGATATGGGGGATGTCTTGCGCATGCCGACAGTCGTCAGGGCACTGAAAACGACTTAGTAATGGCTGTGGTCGATGTGGGCGTCCCAGGACGGCCACATCGACCACATCGACCACAGCCACAACCAAAGTGGTCATGTCGAGGTTGGCAGGTTCTCCCCCGAGGGGCACTCCCAAAAAATCCTCTTAGTCGGGGCTGTGGTTCTTTGCTGTGCCCGGCTCCTCCACCTCCACGTCAACCACAGGCAGGTATTCCACGATGCCGTGCCCGGTCTTGGCAAGCATCGCTTCCCAGAGCGCTTCGGGTGCGACGCCCTCTATGGCCGCGCTCGTGTAGCCAAGGCCGACGGGTTGATCCTCTGGAGGATGAATCATAAGCATAAACTTCAAGAGCTCCGCGCGGATGTCACGGATCTGAGCTGGATTACCCCCCTGGCGCGCGGAGCGTGCAAGGGGTGTCGCTGGAGGCGCCGCCAGGAAGGCCCAGCGCAGATCCAAGAACTCCGTGCGGAGGTCCGAACATTTGTTTATGCACGCGTTTTTCTTCGAATCATCCTCTTAGCCTGGAGCAAGCGGGTGCTGAGGAAAACGGGACGTAAAGCGAGGGGCCTTCTTCTAGGACCAAATCTGATAATCCGGAGCCGTTCCCAGGTCCCCTGGACGGCCCGGGAGCCTGACAACGGCAAAAAACCTTTTGAAGCAGTTTCCCTCAGGACCCGCTTGCTTCTTGGCGATCCTCCGCGCCCCCCACGTGACCACCAGCCCCGGCGACCAATGCGAGCGCCCTGGGCGCCTCCAGCCACAGCAGCGTCGCCGCGGCGGCCCCGAGCGCCAACAACGCGCCGAGGCCGGCGCGCGCAAACCAGAGGCTGCGTTTTGGTCGAAGGGGTGGCGCGGCGCGCTGCTGCCAGAGAGAGCGCATAGTCTTAGGATGCAACTCCTGTGAGGTTTTCGTGGAATCTAACAAGCAACCGGTCCCGACGAAGAGGCGGCCCGACTGAGCTGGGGAATGAGCCGAAGTGAGCGGCAGCAAATCGGATTCAGCGGGACTAGACCAGATCAAGCCGGAGTTGAACCACGGATATGGCAGCCCCGACGCTGAATATTAATTTCGAGCGAACTGCATCTATAATTTGGCCCGGGCAGCTGCAAGCACCAGCACGCCGAGAGCGTGGCACAGCTGGCGCGCGGGCGGTGGGCCAGACGCGGCATGGCATTGAACCGAGCTTGCTGCGGAACTCATCGCGATCTAGTGTTACCCCTCAGCTACCGCTCATACGAGGAGGCCTCTCCCAGCGAAATGTGAACGAGAAGACGCACAAATACGAACTGGAATTGGGTCAGTGATGCTGATTCCGCTTGTCTACTCTCTTGTGCTCCCATGATGCAAGAGATGTTCGGAGGACCCCATGTAGACCGCCATGGCCGGGAAGTCCAAGAAAGTCCCAGACTCCCGACGTCACGACCCTTTCAACCAACACCATATTTCTCGAACTCGGCCTCTTCTAGGCCACTCTGGGCCGCAGGACCGTCAAATATTTGGCACGGGAGGAGGGAAGATATTGAAGGGTGGGGGGTGGATGCGAAGGCCTCACACTGCGTCCGCGTGAAGCGTCAGCCTCCAGCGAAGGGAGAGGAGGCGAAGAAACATGGGCACGAGGGGGTGGAAGGACGAAGGAGTGACGTTTTTGGGACGTCTTTTGAAATGGGGGGCGCGCGTCGCACCCCCCACCCATCCGTGCGCGGTGCGAAGCCGCCCCCCCCCGCGCGGCCGAGAGCACCGCGGCGCCGCGCGTCAGCCCGCGCGGCGGCCTCCTGGCCTGCCACAGGCCGCGGCTCCCCATCAGGCCTGCAGCAGGAGGCGGATCGAAGGGCCCGCGGCCGCTCGCGCCCTCGCTGGCCCGAGGCCCGCGGCAAGCCGCCCTCGCCTGCCAGGCGGCCCAGCTCTGACCACCTCGTCGCCGCACGTCTCATGCACGGCTGCGTCCTGCTGCAGCCTCTGGCGTCGCTTTCGAGCGATGGCTTCTGCCGCCTGCTCCTCGAGGCGGGTCCGCCAGTCCGCTGTGGAGATGGAGGTCCCCTCATGTCCTCCCAGCGGACCCGTTGGTGCAGCGCCTGCTGTCCTGCTTGCCGCAGTGGCTGTGATGGCCCCGCGCGGCTCCTTCTCCTGTAGCCGCCAGTCTGTGGAGGCGGGGCCTGCGGCTAGCCAGCCTGGCCCTCTCCATTGGTCTTGGCCGCCTTGCAGCCGTTGACCGCGACATGGTCACAGGTGGTGCGCTTGCGCCCAGCTGCCTGCTGCGGCGCTGGCTGGGCGTGCTCTGCGGCCACTCGGACTGCGGCTCCTGCCAGCGCGGTTCCCACGGCGACGCCAGCCGCTCTGCCTTCGGCGCCGCTCTGCTCGGGTCTGCATGATCCACCTTTTCCGTCGTGATGCCCGTGGTCGCTCCCAGTCGGTCCAGCGCGGTCCTCAGCGAGTTCTGCTGCGGGCTGGTCGTTCTGGCTGCCGCCATGCCTGGACTGCTCGTTGAGGGCGTCCGTCAGCAGCTGCTCGAGTTCTTGGACTTCGTCTCGGAGCGCGTTGGTACGGTTGGCGTAGTGCTCGATGGCGTCTGTGACATCTGCCAGCGCTGTCTGAGCTCCACTTGTCACCGGCGGGGCTTTTGACGACGATCTCGATGGGCAGGGCGACGATGGGCTGGCCGGCTGCTCTTCTTTAGCTCCGTGGGCCCCACCAGCTCCGTGATCTCCTTCTCTGCTCCAACTGCTCCAGCCTCGCCACATGGGTCTTCATGATTGCTGGAATTGTCCTGGTAGAAGCTATCGTCCCCATCCACCTCTGGGTGGGCGCCATCCGCCTGCCTGCGGGGCCGCTCGTGTTCGACGCCGGCGTCAGGTTATGGCTGCGTCTTCCTCGGTGGTCTTGCCCTGCTCGACTTTGGCAAAGTCTCCTGTAGCTGCTGGTCGCTCGATGGCCGCGTGATGTTGCCGTCCGCGCCAGTGCTGTCGTGGGCGAGACTGATTGCCTGCCCATGAGCTCGGCGCGCTGCAAGTTCGCGTTCATGCGCTTCTCTCTCGAGACCTTGCGGTCGCAGCCAGCACTCTTGCCTTGCGCCATGGGTGACCTGCCAAGCGCCCGCGCACCATTCAGCCGCCCTTCGCCGCCGTTAACGCTCAGCAGCGTCTTCGTCCAGCCCCGTGAAGAGTGGCCCGAACATGGGAAGCCGCAGGGCGTTCATAACTGCGTTGACGCACGTCTCGGCCCACCCCCTCTCGCCGTAGATCATGAAGGCGCTGGTGAACTGCCTGAGGTGGCATCGAAGCGGCCCGGCGCTCCTCGCGGCCCCCTGCGCGCAAGTGGTCGGTCGCATGCTCTTGTGCAGTTCCGCCCTTGGCGAGGTGGGTTCGGATCTGCGCTGCCTGCTGCTGGGCGCCGCTGCCGCCTAGGTGGGCGTTTCCCTCGTCTCCGCTAGCGGCCGGGGGGGGGCTGCATGGCCCCCCTGGGCGCGGCGGAGGCCCCGCGGGGCGCCGCGTTGGCGGGTCTCCCACGCCACCTGGGCGCCGCGGCTGCGGCCGCCCGCTGCTCGCCCCTGTGCGCAGCCTGGGGGTCTGCGAGGTCCTCCAGGCGCGGCGACGGCCCCTGTGGGCGCCGCTCTGGCGCCGCACCCCCCGCCCTCCGGGCGTCGCGCCCCCCTCCAGCTGGGCACTGCAGCTCCCGACGCGTGGGCCATTTTCCAACCAGATTTCCTGCGCGGGGGGTCGGGGGCGCCGTCGAGGGGGGGGCGGCTGGAGGGGGGGCGGAATGACGGGGGGGTCGAGGGCGAGGTGGGCCCGCGAAGCCCTGGGATGTCGAGGCTTTGGTTGGACGCGCGCCCGAAAGAGCAGCGCGCCCGGGGAAGCGCGCGAAGTCGCCAGGGCGCCTGGGGAGGAAGGAGGCGAAGGAGCGTCAGCAGCAGCAACCGGCAGTGCATGTCCATTCTGCTTCTGCGCGGAACCGCGGGGCAAACAGGTCGACAACGACGCGATCACCTGCGAGCCCGAATCTCTCTGGACATAATGCCGTTGCGCGGGCCCCAGGCAATTGCTCGGGGGCCCGCTGCGGCTCCGCAGAATGGCTCAGCGCCCAATCTCCCGCCCTGTATTATGTTTGCGCTCCGCGTGGAGTCTATGCGCGGCCTGGAAGAACTCGGACTCGCCACCCAAAGTCACTGCTTCCCTGGCGATGCCCCCTGCGACGATGCCCAAATTGTTCAAAGCGGGCCGCAACGGGGCCCCGAAGGACGCCCGCGGCTTCCGAGGCGCCCCGAGATGGCTCGCCGAACGAACGAAAATTGAGCACGAGGCTCAGGGGCGACCTCAGGGGGGCCCCGCGAGGGTGATGGAGGGCCGCAAGAGGGCCCGATAGCTCGGCGTCGGGCCAAAGGGTTTCGAGAATCCCCGAAGTGAACATCTCATCGGACCCCGGCAATGCCCTGCGCAAGTTCCGAAGGGGCCCCGGGGGACATCCAGGACCCCACCGGCGTTCCGTCCAGTTCATGTTGCTGGGGCGTTCTACTTTAACGCGACGAACCCTCGGGCTCCGCGACCTCCGACCAAACGCCCCATGGAATCAGCACGCTGTCGGGATCGCGCGGCCCGCGGGGATTTTCTACTCTGCGGCCCGCAGCGGCGACGATTGAAGAACTCGCGGGGGACGCGGGGGCGCTGGAAGGCATTGACGTTGAAAAACGGGGCATCAGCGGAGGAACCGAAACAGAATGGGCACTTTCAGTAAGTATCTCCTGGAGCCCCACACGCGCGCTGGACGCCGCGCCGGCCCCGCCCGGGCCACATGCTCGCCAGCGCGGCTACGCCGCGGGGACTCGTGGCATCCTGGAACTACCGCGCGCGCAAGCGGACCCCGCTGCACCTCTGCCCTCGCCCGTGCGGGGGCCCGAGGGAGGGCCCGCCCCTGCGCGGGCGGGCGCCCCGCTCGCCCGCGCAAGGCGAAGACGTGGGGGCGTCCCCCCCAAACAAAAGAAACACCCGAATCATGCGCGCGCGGACACGGCGCCAAGGCCGCGAAAGACAAGACGAGGCAAGACATGACGCGGCCAAACACGTCCCAGCCAGGCGCGCCAAGGCAGTTTCCAAGTCGGGGGCAAATGGCCGCAAGACCGCCCGATCAGGCACCCGGAATGCTCGCGCACTTCCAACGCAGATCGACCCAGCCGAAGAATCGATGCTAGATGCGCCGGCGGCCGGGGGCACCCGAAAACGCCTGCGTTGACTCGCCCGGAAGAAATACGTAGCACCTCGCAATTGCGGATAAGAGTGAGGGGGCGGGCGCGGGCGACGCGGGCGTCGTCGAGCTGGCGGACCTCGTGGCCCCCACCGTCCCTGTCGATGGCGCTTTCCTCCTCCTCCTCCTCCTCCTCCTCCTCCTCCTCCTCCTCCTCCTCCTCCTCCTCCTCCTCCTCCTCCTCTTTCTCCACATTCTCCTTACATCCTCTCTTCTTTCGCGTCCTCCTCGTCCCCTGTTTACTCCTCCTGCCTCCCTCTCCTTTTCCCAAGATAACGGCAACGCAATCCTTCTTGTTCCACTTTATGCTCCCCGACTTCTCTGATCAAGGCAACTCGCCAGGGCAAAATTGCTGGACGGGCTGGTGTGGATGCACGGGGCTTGAAGAGGTCGTTGCGGGCTCAGGCGGCATGCAAAAATCCGACGCCGCGCTTGTGCGGCATCGGTACCCTGAACGTGGTTTGGGTCGCGGGTGGGTCGCGAGCTCTCCACCTCCACCTGAGCAGCCCGCCGCAGGCGCCGAAACATTTGGTTTGTACACTGAACGTGGAATGGGTCGCGGGTGGGCCGCAGGTTCTCCACCGGGAACGAATGCAAAAAAATGCCCGCCGCAGGCGCCGAACAAATTGGTTTTTACCCTGAACGTGGTCGCGGGTGGGCCGCGGGCTCTCCACCTGAAACGAATGCAAAATATGCCCGCCGCAGGCGCCGTAAAATGTGGTTTGTACCCTGAACGTGGTTTGGGTCGCGAGTTGGTCGCGGGGTGGGTCGCGGGCTCTCCACCTGGAAGGAATGCAAAAAAAAACCGCCGCAGGCGCCGAAAATTGTGGTTTGTACCTTGAACGTGGTTTGGGTCGAAGGTGGGTCGGGGGTGGGTCGTGGGGTGGGTCGCGGGTGGGTCGCGGGTGGGTCGCGGGTGGGTCGCGGGTGGGTCGCGGG